TGATCCACCCACCTCGGCCTCCCAAAGTGCTAGGATTACAGGCGTGAGCCACCGCGCCCGGCCAGTAAAAAATTTCAGGTACGAAAAGAGGCCTGGTGCAGTGGCTCACACCTATAATCCTAGCTACTCTAGAGGTGAGGTCAGGAGACTCACTTTAGCCCAGGGGTTTAAGACCAGCCTGGACAATATAGAAAGACCCCATTTCTTTCTTTCTTTCTTTCTTTTTTTTTTGAGACAGAGTCTCGCTCTGTCACCCAGGCTGGAGTGTGGTGACCTGATCTTGGCTCACTGCAACCTCCTGCCTCCTGGGTTCAAGTGATTCTCTTGCCTCAACCTTCCAAGTAGCTGGGACTACAGGCACTCGCCACCACGCCCAGCTAAATTTTGTATTTTTAGTAAAGACAGGGTTTCACCATGTTCTCCAGGCTGGTCTCGAACTCCTGACCTCAGGTGGTCCACCCGCCTCGACCTCCTGAAGTGCTGGGACAGGTGTGAACCACCGTGCTCAGCTGAGAGACCCCATTTCTAAGAAAAAAAAAAAAAAGCCCCTCTTTTAAGGCAATTTTACTATAACTTTCTAGGTGAGCCTTCCAGAGGTAGTCAATACATGCACAAATAAATATGTCTTAAAATTAATATTCATTTATTTATTTGTTTTTTGCAAACGGTCTGGCTCTGTTACGCAGGCCTGAGTGCAGCCTTGAACTCCTGGGCTCAAGCGATCCTCGCACCTCAGTCTCCCAGTTAGCTAAGACTATGGGCACACACCACCATGCTCAGCTAATTTTTGTATTGTTTTGGTAAAGACAGGGTCTCACTATGTTTTCCAGGCTGGCCTCAAATTCCCGGCCTCAAGTGATCCGCCTGCCTTGGCCTCCTGAGTAGCTGGGATTACAGGTGCATGCCAACATGCCCAGCTAATTTTTGTATTTTTAGTAGAGATGGTGTTTCACCATGTTGGCCAGGCTGAACTCCTGCCTTCAAGTGATTCATTGGAGAACATGTTTAGATCATAGAATAGCATGAAAAAGAAAATATAAATCACCCATAATTATGCCATCCAAATATAACTATTATATTGTGTTTACAGTGCGTACATCTAATTTTCTCAACACATAAATATGATTTCTGCACAATGTCATAGGAGTAAGACCAGTCTGGGCTTGGTGTCCTATGCCTGTAATCCCAGCACTTTGGGAGGCCAAGGCGGGAGGGACCCTTCAGCCCAAGAGTTTGAGACGAGCCTGGGCAATACAGTGAGACCCTGTCTCTACAAAAAGTAAAAACATACTAGTTGGGTGTGGTGGTACATCTGTAGTCCCAGCTACTCAGGAGGCTGAGGTGGGAGGATTGCTTGAGCCCAGGATGCTGAGGCTGCACTGAGCTGTGATTGTGCTGCTGCCCTCTAGCCTGGGTGACAGATCGGACCCTGCGGGGTATTATAAGACAGCATTCGCCAAGGGCTGGGTGGTAGCCTCCCGGGCTGCAGTGCTGGGATTCAGTGCTCTGTCTGCTTCCTTCAGGGCTTTTAGGGGCTTCTTTTCTTTTCTTCTCCTAACCCTTAAAATTTGTGAAACTCATGTTTTTCGGGCCTGTGGGCTTGTTCTTTTCTTCTCAGTGGAATGGCCATGTGGTTGCTACTGCCTTGTTTGATGAATTGTGTGGAAAATGCATAACTAGGAGTTGTAGTGAACATACTTGGAAGATTTCTTTTTTCTTTTTTTTGAGATGGAGTCTCGCTCTGTTGCCCCAGCTGGAGTACAGTGGCACAATCTCGGCTCACTGCAACCTCCACTTCCTGGGTTCAAGTGATTCTCCTGCCTCAGCCTTCCGAGTAGCTGGGATTACAGGCACGTGCCACCAGGCCTGGCTAATTTTTGTATTTTTAGTAGAGACAGGGTTTCATCATGTTGGCCAGGTTGGTCTCAAACTACTGAACTCAAGTGCTCTGCCTGCCTCAGCCTCCCAAAATGTTGGGATTACAGGCGTGAGCCACTGTGCCCAGACACTTTGAGGATTTCTAATCTGCAGATTAGTGCCATGGGCTAGAAATCCATTTGTCTGTGTTCTGTTGCTCTTTACCTTCTGATTATCTAAGAATAATAGGGTGCCTTTGTTAGTGACACTTTACTCTGTAGGGGATGCTGGACTAATTTACACACAGGCAGTCCTAATCACCAAGTAGTTTGCTGTTGAGTGTGTTTTTTTGAAACAAGATAATATATAGGTGTAAACCATTTTTTTTTTTCTTGAGATAAGGTCTTGCTCTGTCGCCCAGGCTGGAGTGCAGTAGCACCATCTGGGCTCACTGCAACCTCCACCTCTCAGGCTCAAGTGATCCTCCGGCCTCAGCCTCTCAAGCAGCTGGGACCACATGTGTGCAACACCATGTGCAGCTAATTTTTAAATTTTTCTGTAGAGACAAGGTCTTACTACATCTCCCAGGCTGGTCTCCACCTCCTGGGCTCAAGCAGTCTTTCTGCCTTGGCCTCCCAAAGTGCTGGAATTACAAGCATGAGCCACCACACCTAGCCACCATTCACAGCCTTTGAGAAAGAAAACTAACCTTTGGCTGTCTCATTCATAAAATGGGATGACAGTGACCATCTGTCTACTCAGAAGAATGAAGGGAAGTAAAATCATGCTAAATCAAGTATTAATCTCAGGGCCTGTCCTATGAAAAGTTAACATCCAGGAAAAAGTGACTTGATCTGGAAATGTCAACTCCCTTCTTAGGCTTCTCCGCACCACAGGGAGGTATGACTGGCCTTGTACCACTTACAGGCTAGCTGAGAAGACACACATTAATAGTCAAATCACAGAATCAAATAATCCTAAGCCTAAGAAAGGCCTGCAACAGACACCATTGAGAACAGCCCGCTGCCCTAGGCTGGTGAATGTCTTAGGTATCCCTGGACAGCAGTGACAAACCACAGCAGGAGACTTGTCAGGTGCAGGAGGGTTGGCTTAAGACATGTGAATTGGGCCAGGTGAGGTGGCTCATGCCTGTAATCCCAGCACTTTGGGAGGCTGAGATGGGTGGATCGCCTGAGCCCAAGAGTTTAAGACCAACCTCGGCAACATGGTGAAACCCCATCTCTACAAAAAATACAAAATTTAGCTGGGCATAATGGTGCATACCTGTAGTCCCAGCACTTGGGATGTTGAGGTGGGAGGATTGCTTGAGCCCAGGAGGTCGAGACTGCAGTGAACCAAGATCACATGACTGCACTTCAGCCTGGGTAACACAGTGAGAGCCTGTCTCAAAAAGAAAAGAAAAGAAAAAAAATCAATAGTTCCCTGACTGCTGCAGAAATAATAGCAATTCTAGAGCTTTCTTTGCTACCAGTTTTCTGCAAGTCTAGTGCAAGTCTTTTAACCTCTTATTCACTAAAACCTCTCTGGCTCTGAAATTCTGTGGTCCTGGATTATTATTGTTTCCACTTTAGCTTCTTTCTTTTTCTTTTTTTTTTTTTTGAGACTGTCTCTCTCTGTTGCACAGGCTGGAGTTTAGTGGCACCATCTCTGCTCACTGCAACCTCTGCCTCCTGGGTTCAAGCAATTCTCCTGCCTCAGCCTCGCAAGTAGCTGAAATTACAGGCACCTGCCACCAAGCCCCGCTAATTTTTGTTTGTTTGTTTGTTTGTTTTTAAGTAGAGACAGGGTTTTGCCATGTTGGCTAGGTTGGTCTTGAACTCCTGACCTCATGTGATCCACCAGCCTCAGCCTCCCAAAGTGCTGAGATTACAGGTATGAGCCACCACGCCTGACCCCACTTTAGTTTCTTTTCGGCTGTTTGCTCTATTTCCCCAGTAAGTATTTTTATTGTTTTGTTCTGTACTTATTTGTTGCACATTTGCTTTTACCGGTAATGTAGCATATGTTTAAGAAAAAGCGGCCAGGCCCAGTGGCTCACGCTTGTAATCTCAGCACTTTGGGAGGCCGAGGCAGGCAGATCACCTAAGGTTGGGAGTTCAAAACCAGCCTGA